ATTGCTGTGCCTGGTGAGAATGAACAGCCATATCTGTAGTGAAGTAAAGCGCTCCACGAATCATTTTGCACGATGCTGATAAGGTCTTCTAATTCCAGTTATTAGGGTTTATGAATTTAAAGATTAAAATCGCTGATGTAAATAATTTTTACAATCTGTTAAAGATGTTTATTTCAAAGAACTAAGAGTTCTGAAACATTCAGAAATGTGGGTGAAAATTCATATAACTAAAACATATTCAGAACGGATATAATTTAAAAACTAATATATACACACACACACACACACACACACGTACACACACATACACACACATTCAACTCATTCATAAACTTTCACTCATTCTTAAGGTTCAAATGTTTGTATAAACACCAGTTTGATAGCTTTTTTACTTCCCAAATGAGGCGTTCTTCGAGGTGAATCGCGTTCCTCCCCGGGAGAAGCTTTGCCACGCCGCATGCGTTTAGCCATAGCCTGTAGTCAGCATACGAGCGGGCTGTGATTAAGCAATGCCCTCGGTTCTTTTTTTATGTTGCTGAGCTATAAACCAAAACATTTTCTTGCACACGCAACACACATTTATTGGACATTCTAACTGCATGTAATATTTTTAGGTCGCTTTTTAATAACTTGGTCATATAGCGATCACTGCGATTGTTTGAACTGTAGGAGGAGCAAGTACGTATACCACGAACGCACACAAACATGCATGCCCGAGGCGGGATTCAAACCAGCGACCCTTCGAGTCGAGCCGAGCAGCTACGGCCATTCAGCATTAGCGACCTCGGCTATCCAGGCCGGCCATGTAATCTTTGCTTAGTATGGTTTTTGAAAACTCTTCCTCCTGACTCCAGGCATGTGAAACGCAATTTTCGTGCAATCGCAGTTAACAACAGGATATTTACGCCGGAAACAAAGCCTAATGAAGTAAAGACGTATATTCTCAAAACCCACTGCAACGCTACGTAGAAAGTGTCATAGGCTCTCAGTTTAGACCTGTGGAGACCACCTATTATCTTTGAGGGACTCGGGAGGGTTGAATAGAGTTCCTGCGCTAGGTCGTGCCGGTAAAGCGTATGAGGTCTCCCGAAAGCAGGTGTTGCTGAATATAATTAGCACGGCGCCTGCGGGACGGCTTCCAGCGAGCTGCTGTGGCGGGCTCCCCCATCCACGCCGACCCCCTCCAAGCCCCCCTATCCAACGCCCCCACCCGTCATCTCACCGCCCCCCGTGTACCCCGTCCAAAGTTCCACCCCCAACGCCTATTTGATCAGTCATGTCCGCTTACCAGCCACGCTGCGCCAGCCCACCATCTTGCTCCCATACAATTAATCGGCGGCGCGGCGTGGCGCGGCGCGCTGCAACAGAGGGCGCAGCAGAGGCAAATGTCAAGTGCACGCAACGGCAGTAGCGGAGCGGCTGACGCTCGTTGCCAGCCCTTGCCGTACGAGGTGGCGCAACAGCTCCGCTGCCGTTACGCTCAGGCAACCGCCGCGGGCGGGCGCGGCGGGGGCGGGGCTGGGGCCGGGTTCGGGTGGGGGTGAAAGAGAGGGGGGAGGGCATGGTGCACGCGCGCGCCGCGTTATGATACCGCATCAAGTGCATCGCGCGCGCTATGAGAAATGACAGGGTGAGGGGCAGAGGCTCGAGGATGCCCTCGGTGTCGAGTAGGTCATTGGCCGAATTTTCGTGCTCGAGGACCTACCGGGCGCGCGCGGCGCTGCCAGCCACCGGCGGCTTTCTTCGACGCGCGTTTTCTTCTTATCTAGATGCTCGTTCAGGGGCGTGAAGGCTGCGTAGTGCGCGTCGAACCTGTTCGGGTCCAAATATGTTGGATCCATTTTAGGGAGAAGTAATCGTTATGGTTGTGCACGATTTATATACACTGACCTATTCACTTTCTCGAGAATTTGATATGCGTCGAAGATCGTTTTATTTTCTTGTGTTATCGTATAGACCTGGATATGTTTGCATTACATGTATAAAATAAGTATCAAAATAATCTTTAATGTTACATAGAATGAAAAAATAAAAGAAAAATGGAAGAAAAGAAAAAGAAATGCAAGTTGTCTCGCTGATTTAGTAAATTTTGTAAGAATTTGAGCTTCCAGTACCATGAGTTTATCAAGGTCCGAGATAAATGTGTGCCTCGCATTCCCATTTTCTTCTACCGGAGTTACGTGCACATCCGACAGGTAGACGCAAATTTTAACAAACACCGACCTGTATTGGTTTACCGCTGTCACTTTCCTACAAACTGGCTTCGGTTTTCGTATTTTAAAATAAATGTTTGTGTGCCAACATGATGAATGCAGGACGTGGCACATTCAAAATTTTCTTGTACCATTCTATTTATGCATCTCAAAATATTATATTCATTTTTGCGGCCGAGGTTTCTATTACGCAAAACTCTCTAGAGAAACCTTTCAAAGGTTCACAACTAAATAGAATTCAACATAATAAAAAATTTTAAAAAGTGATCGTTGAGACCATGGGCAAGGATTTCTCCATTGACATTCTTTACCCATGATTGCTTTCCTTGTCAAATCCAAGAATCGACGAATAGTTGAAGACTTTAAGCCAGCATGGTCACAGTGGAATCTTGTAAGTTTCATTTACGAATTCAGTCTATTCTCCTTAAGTATAGACACCAGAATTGCCAAGAATTTGCTTTCTCGTGCCGTATTCTTATCGCTTGACGTTACTGCAGGGGTGTTCATAAATAAATGTGTAAGCCAATGCTGTAAAAACTAACTTTACCGCTTAACCCAGCAGTTGCAATCAGTTTTTATTTGAATGGTTTTCGTTTACATGATGTGCTTTTTTTCCAAATTAATATTGTAGGAATTAAAAGTTGAGGCTATCTCAAGAGAAAGCGAACAGTCGTTTCCCGCTCGGCGGACTAGATCGAGGGTTATTTTTTTGGTATTGCATTTTTATAATAAGTACTTTACGTTAAATGTCATTGCAGTTGTTCGAAGTTTTTTCCCGAAGGGATCAGATGGTGACGACCGTGCATTTCAAGGCTGAGAAAATTGAGCATTCCATTGTGAATTGGTAGAGTCGAGCTTTCGTGACCATTCACAGAGCGGTTGGATTACGAAATAGGTCTTCAGATGTCTTTTGCGGAAATAATAGAATTTCATTGCAATCTTTGTTAAATTTTCAACTTTTCCTTAATCTCTTCGTGCCAGAAGTGTTTAAAAACCTGTGTAAAATGAAATTACTATTTTTCAGTTGTGCAATTTAATTGCGCGAGTGCTTGTGAATAAACTCTTCGGAATGTTTACCCATGTACAGTCCAGGGCGAGATCGTTTGAAGTTATGCGAGTATGCAGCTATAATTATACATTCTGTAAAATATTTTTTACGTATGACAATGTTGGCACGGGTTCAACTAGTATTATTTATACAGTAATAATCAGTAAATATTCTGATTATGAAGTCGGTCCACATACTTTTTATTCTAACATTGATAATTCATCATCACGCACTGCGACTCGAATCAGAATTTTTCTGTACCCTTTTTTCCAAGTATTTAATTCCTTTAAAAAATCTAACAAAATTAATATTTGTGCTGTGTTTACATCGACAAAAAGTCTGTATAGTTAAGTACAAACATCGTGCGTGTATTGAACATTTAAACAAGGTTGTCTATCAAATTGAATGCGATGACAACTGTAAATACACCGGCTTATATTTCCGTCTTTGACGAAAATCGATTCGTTTTTGAACAAAATATGCAGCGTCTCTTTTAAAAATTATCGTTCTTACTGCCTCATTTCATATATTCTTGAGTTTCGCTAGTAGTGTTCGGTGGTCATCTGTAAAGCAAAAGGAGGCTCATACTTACGGCGTGAACCGCCTCCAAAGGGTGTCGCGTTCCATGCCAAGTAGATGCCGTTAGGATCCTGCCTGTCCGGCCGTTGGACAACTTAGGAGGCGGATCCGATATCGCTTGCGCTCGGCAGGCGCCTTGTGACTGCACATCTTTTCCTTGGACGGTCTTTGCCGAATTCTTTACCGGTTGCTTTCTTGCGACGCATTTTCCCGCCTTCTTTCACCTCCGCTACGAGTTTTTCCCTTTCCCCTTCGCCCCTTGCTCGCGCGCACCCGCGCTCTCTCTGCCGCCTCGCGTCGCTCTTCCTGCCACCGCCATTCCACTCCACCCCACTTGATTCGATTCAATTCGTTTCATTTCCACAGCTAGGAACGACACAAAGTGTAGAAACGTGAGTGTTGTTGAGCCGCAAGTATATTACTTGTAAAATTGTTTGCTATGGATGCAGTCAAATTCAGGTAAAGATATTCGTTCTGCTTACGTATTTCAAATATGTTTTGTAGATCATCGTTATTCACATTTTCTGCGGACACAATTAGTTTTACTCAGCTATGATAGTGCTGCAGAGAAGCCGTATTTATTTCAATTACTAAAAGGGGAAGAAAAAGTCCTTTTAGGATGAACGATTGATCTTCTGCACACGATTAAACTTTTCCTTTTGACACCTTTTAATTGCTGTTAGTATAAATACCCGACCATTGCTACTAACGAAAACAAAAATGCCCAAACTTTTGGTATCGGAGTTACCTATCTCATCCGCTTGATCTTCGCCCACTGTCACTTTCCTTTGTTGGCCGCGAGGTTGCTGTTGCGATTGCCCTTTCACGTTTCAAATATGTTATATCGTTCAGGGCAAAATATGAAGATAAGATAATGTTGAAGTTAATGTGATCACCCGTTCGATTTTGCTAATTAGGTAATTATATTCTTGTTATTAGTCTCCCTGTGATTGATTATCCAGCCTCGCTTTTTCTATGCCAGAAAGTTATTAATGTGCACATGTTTATTATTTATTGAGTGAATATTTGTGATTGTTGGGTAATATTTTTTGTCATGATCGTTTTTGTTCGTTGATCACGCGTGTAATTTGTGAAATGTGTGAACAGTGTACATTTTTTCTTAGTGCAGAACATAACATTCTTGTCTTTTTTTATTACAGAACAGAATCAGCGCCACACCACAAATACAGTTCCTAGGAAATGAAGGGGTAAGTAATGTTTTCATTTCGACTCACGTTTTTAGTATTGATCAATCTTCCTGTTATATGCGAAATAGATCTCCATTCTAAAATTGTCGTGCAAGATTTGAAGATAATATAATATCTATTCGTTTTCAAAACGTTTTAATAAATATTAAAAACAAAATGGTTTTAACGAATAATAAACCACCTTTCTAGCAATTTAAAATTAATTGGACAAAATTCTAATTTTGAAGAGCAAAGGGATTTAATCGGATCAGTAACCTTCATGTAGCTGTAGAAGTTCAACACTGTTCAACACAACATCACTTCATAATAAATTAGTGCACTCGCAAACCTTCAAGAGTTGAGAAAATGTATTTCAATTACATTGGTAAGCTATTATATTTTGTTTGCAAACTTTACTTAACTGGCGGAACAGAAAAACAAAATTTATTTAATAATAATTATAAAAAATATAAGCTTTAATTGAACAGTATACAAATACAACAAAATTTGCATTTACACAGAAAGGCGTGATTTAGGAAATCTTGTTTTTAAATTAGACCTGGAATAACTCTTGTATGTATTAAAATGGAATACAAATCGTGTAGATTATATTCAAATATAATAAAGAAAAGCAATTACTGAACATATGTGAATAATACAAAGAAAATATGCATTAACAATATTGCAGTAAAAACAATAAGAAGGCGATAGTAGAAATAGAGTTAGGGCATTTTAACGTTTTGTTGAACTCACAACGAGAATAGAGGAATCCAATAATTTGAGGATTGTCTTAAGAGGGTGCAAAAATTCGGTCCTCAATGTGGACAAATTCCGAATTTCGGCGTCTGGTTAAATCTCGTATTTCCGGGCTTTTGTTTTTCTGGGGCGGTGACGTCAAAGCGCCACAGAACCTCCGTCCGACGCAGTGGCCAATAAAACGTCGGAATGCGGGTGATGTAAGGTACTACGCAATAAAGATACGAAACTGAGATATAGAGCGGCCGGGCCTTCGTTTTAGAAGAAGCGCTATTACCCTACAAACTGACGAAATTCTGTGATCTTGACGACTTACTAAGGTTTGGATGCGGTACATGAGACGAATGAAGTGGTTTGAATGAAGGTTGTCTGAATGCATCTCACTCTTTTTGAATGGAAATGTTGGAGGGGTGTGTTACTAAAAATGATTTTTTATGTATATGAAAGTCTGTTTTGATTGTACGGTATATACATTTGGCAGCTAAATGTTTCATTCTTGAAGCTAAGAATATTAAATTAATTTTTGGTTTGGAATTTTAAATTAATTCTATGGTCTGTAGTTACGAGTGAAGTACATCGCAAATATATCACGACCGTAAATCGTGCGGTACATCGCAATGGTCGCGTGGAGAGCGGCAGTCGTTGTGCACGAGGCGGTGTGGATTGCCGCTATGCGTCTAGCCCCATTCAACGGACGGTCTAAACAGCATCACAGTGATCTCCCGTACTCGTAGATTAAATGGTGTTTCCGGGCGCGTCAGCTGTTTTTCTCATTAGTCACATACGCGTTGGGCATGTTAAATCTCGGTAGGTAGTGTTCTGTCCCGCCCCCGCTGGATTGAGAGTTCCGACGTCGACCTACACGTCGGTTTGCGGGGTTTCCGCCTCCCAGCGGGTCACAGCTCCAGCCTGGGCAGGCTCTAGGCGCCCGACTGATTCCCCGATGTGTAGTGTGTATGTGACTGTGTGTGTATGTGGGTGTGTGACTGACTGACTGAATGTGTGTGTGCATGAGCCTCGGCGTGGTAAGTGAGATGTGAAGCTCGAGGAAAGCGTGCGGCCCGCAACCCGTTTGTTAGGATATTGCTATGGCTTGGTGTTGATTGAGGAAACTGCGGAAAACTAGATATTTTTTATAGAGTAACTGAGAGCTAGAATTTGTGAAAACTGCCGCTTGTGGAATAGGCGTGATAGATACCGATGCTATCTTGAGGAACCTACACGAGAAAGGTTACATACGACCTCGACTGTCGCTTTTCTCTATTGATGTGAATCTACGCGTGAAATACCATAATCTACGCCTACATGTCAACGCGTAGACGAAGGAAATTGTTTTTTTTGTGGGGGGGGGAGGGGGCGAATCCTTGAGGGTCATGCTCTTCCCCTCCCTTATCAAAAGTCAACATTTATTTTGTAATTATACTGAATTTACTCAAAACAAGTAAAGAAGCCTTGATTTGATCGCATCCAAAGGAGTTAAGAATAAATATATAATTTTAGATTTCAAAATGTGTGTTTACTTCAGAAATGTTAATGGGGCGGGGAAGAGGTTACGAACTCTCTACCAGGTTATTAGCGAATGCAGAAAAATCAGTAAATTACGTAATGCTATTGTACATGGTATTGTGGCAATTATAGTCTGCTAGTAGTACTACAGTACGTATAAAAATGGATATTATGACAATATTATAATACAAACATTTCCAATATTAGAAAAAATGCAAACGTTCAGTATTAAATACCACATGATAAAATGGAAATAGTTCCATATTTCTAGAACCGACTCGCTTCTATTTAAGTTTCAAAAGTGTCTTATATTGATTTCTTTATCAAAACTAATCATTCTCCTTAAAAAATCCTCAGTGTGTAGAATGTTTTCATAACCATATTCCAATGCGTACGAACTTTTTTCTATTGTTTGGGCAGTGAATTTGGATGTCGTACATGTACAGAAACTGTACAGTGTTCACACTTGAGGGAGGAGCCGTTACCGTGTATCAAAATTATGAGATAGGCTGCAGTGGACAGTTCTTAACCCGTGGTGCCCAGCTATTATTTACGAGAAAAGCATTTGGAATTTCTTATTAACCCAGAATTGGAGACTTTTTGCTTTCATTAATCTTCTTAGATTTCCATCGTTTGTAAATGATACTTCGCATTGTGTTAAATATAGATCAGATCATCTTCCAGATCTTGAATTCATTCGAAATCACTGTTGTTCCTGTGGAGGTTACGGAGGTTGTCATTTCTTCATTAAGAGTATGTTATATTTTGTTTGACTTACTGAATCGAAAATTAAAAATTTAAATATTACATTTAAGCTTGCCACTATTATTACTGCTTATTTCTAAATTTTTAGGTCATTTTATGTGAAATGTTAGTCTACATAGATGATATTGTATATGTAGTATACGCGTATAAAGAATCATGTAGATTACGTGTAGAAAACGCGTAAACGAAAATTATAGTCTACCACCAAACACAGCTTTTCTCACATACTGCATCGCGTTGCGTCAGCGACTTCCGGGGAAATATCGCTCGTCTCTTTCCAGGAACTACTGTGCGCGCGCATGTTAGGCTTGCTCGTTTCACACTTTTCCGTTTACGTTATTAGTTACACGCGTTCTGCGTTTTTATCTGCACGCTCGCAGATTCACGAAGAGGAAATGAAGCACTAGGTTTTGACACTTTCTCATAGGACTCTGAATGGATTTTGTGGAGCGTCTTTATTATTTACAAACTTTCCAATTTCAGTATCAGCATTTTTATTACCTAAACAGTACGCCCTACATTACACGTATTTCTTTTTGTTGGAAAAACAGAAAATAGTTGGTTGTTTTACTAATAAATTCTTCAACAGTGGCGGCTGGTGCCCTCTTCCCTAAAAAAAAATGGGGATTGCAGCCTATTTTACATAAAACCCTTGTAAAAAGAAATTACGTAATAATTAAAACTTTGTCTTATTCTAATGATATGTTACTGTCTTATTTTAATAAGATGTGCTTCAGTCTGACAAGAAAACTCCTGTGGCCATAGTATCTTCCGATGGAGTTAAAAACGCCTTATACGTGTTAAATATCTTCTGATTGATTACATTTTGTTACTTTCTTGCATATACTTCGTAAGAAGTGTTTTGTGCGCCGGAAAATGGTGGATTTTTGGCGGATTTTCGTATTGCCGAGCCTGGGTAGCGAAAAAGTGTATAAATCCTCGTGCTTTATATTCATTACTTTCTCTAGCTCGTCATGTAGTGAGAATCGATGTTTTAGGTGTCCTGATACCGAAATATCGTTCGTCTGTTCGTCCATACCTCCATCTGTTCGAACGAGGTTAACGCTAGAGCCTAAACCGTTCGCCGATTTTCTCCAAAATTGGTATTTTCTGATCGATGTGAACGAACTCAAGTCTTTGGTAATTACAAACAGATATTTTGAGTTTTGAGGATACTGTACATTAAAAACATCATAATTTTCTCAAAAATAGCTTCAATTTTTTATTAAACTTTTTCCTGAGATAGCGTAAATAACGCTTAAGGGAATGGCGCAGGTCTCATGTTTGTTGAAATCTGATTTTTCGAAAATTGTAAAAGCAAAACTTTTTTGGGGTGTCTTGTTACAACTAAAATATTGAAGATATGTTTTTCCTTAATAAAATCTGTTCTTTAAAGACATCTTGAAATAAAGTCATATTCAATTTATAGAGAATGAGTACTTTTCCTGTAATTTCACGCGGAAATGGCTATTAATATTGTAGTTTCCTATTTTTTTAACAATTTGTTCTTAAATTATTTTTCCACTGATAGAAGAAACGCTTATAAGAATGGCGTGTGTCTGTTTCGTTTAAATGAGTTTCCGAGAATTGCAAATTTAGAAAGATTGGAAGAAAGAATGCGCTGTTGTAGCAATAGTATCGTGGCTAATTAGTTCTATTTCGTTTTATACTAATAGCTTTTGATGAACATCTTCCACGGAATTAAATTTAGTTAATCTGCGTTTCATGCTCCACCCCGACTGGCATTACCTCGCGTCATTCTTACAAACACATACTCGATCACACATTTCATTGTCTCTGTCACAACATCCCTTTTAACATCTTTACTTTCTCACATTTACTAATGTATGAAAAGAAAGTATTGTAATCGAGCGCCGAAAAAGTGGAAATTTTCGACATAAAATCTCTTATTGTCGGGCCCTGGTAACGAAAAAGTGGATAAATCCAGATGCTAAATATAGAAAAAAAAATCCTTTAACACGTGGTTAGCCAGAATCCATGTTTTGTGCGTCCTTCATACCGAAAACTCGATTGACGGCAAAACGTCTGTCCCGTTTGTCTGTGCACAATGCTAGTGCATTAACATTTCAACCGATTTTCTCCAAAAATTATATTCCCCAACTGTTCTAGGGGATGTCGCGAACCCTGGAATTTGAAAACGATATTTTCGTTTTTTTTGGGGGGGGGGGATACAAAATTCCCTTTGGACGTTTTCAAAATTTTCCAGAAAATGGTGCTAATTTTTTTTCAAAAAATTTATTATTGAATAGTCAAAGAACGTTGAAGAGAATGGTACAGATTCATTTCGTTATCCACAATTTTTCCAAAATTGCGAAAAAAAAATAAAATTACGAAGTTGAATATGCAGATCTTTGCCTCAAAGTCTGATGTACAAAATTAGGTCTTTAAAAAAGTCTTGTATCATTTTTGGTAAAAAGAGTAGTTTTTGCGTAAATTCTGCTTGAAATTAGTGAAATATATACAGGTTTCACATCAACTACAGGCCACAATAAAAATTGAATGAATGATCTGAAGAATAATTTAATTTAAAATTTAGTATTGAAAATGCCAATGTTAATTCCTTTTTTACTTTCTCACACTTTAACATTTTACTCTTTGTATTCTCAGTGTATTGATGTATTTATTTGAAGCAATCCGCAAAGCTTAATTGAAATGTCGTGTACATCGCCCGAGTACTGTAAAGATTATCCGCGACCATATTCGATTTTTGTTGCGGCCCTTGAGGCCTTGAAAGTTGGACACCTCTTATGTACTACTTAATGTTATCTGATCCCTAAAGCATTTACTGCGTTTTTGAAAAAAAGGAAAAGGTACATTAACAATATAACTTCTTCAATATCGTAAAGAAAACTTGCCCGCGAACGTTTTTCAATAAGAGCCTGTACTGACTTCTTTTATTCAAAAATTAAATTGCAAAATTGGGCAAAACGGCTAAATTGTTTCTTTTCATCTTGAAGATCAGATATACTACTTTCATTTAAAGTATTTTTTGTTGGGGGGGGGGGAGACTTCACCATTGTCGATCTAACAAACTGCTACCTTAAAGTTTTATTTTCATAGGCTTCGTTTGAGGCTGTGTCAATGCATAAAAAGGCGGTAATAAATTAACTTTAAATTACTAACATTCTACGATTTATAATATTATTAGTTTATTTGTTTTAGAGTTGTTTATCAACTGTGTATGATGTACTACGATATAGCCGATAAAAAAGTTGAAATCTGAATACAGATAGAAATAAGCGTTTTTGCTAAGAATTGATATTCGCCCAGCGAATGCACATAATTTTGACATCGCTGCGCTGGCAACAGTGCGTTGCTCGCTTCTTGGGTTGATAGTGCAGAAAATGCATTATTTTATTATTACCTAGCCGATTTCAATAACGCGAGAAAGTATGTGCTGTTGTAGCGCCACTAGTTTACTGTTGCTGTTTATTCAATAAGTGCAGTTCTGCATTTTGACAGTAAACCTAAAACAACCATTTTTAAACAGATGATGCTCTATCGCAATATTTTTAAATTTCGAATTTTCGAAAATTTGAAGTTAAGCGAAAATGAGAATGCGCCAAGCGTCCCTTGTTCGATCCAAAAAAATTGAAGAAAGACATTTGTCCGGTTTTTGAAAAAAGTAGCCTTTTGCATACTATTCAGGCAGAAACAACGCAAAAACTACTTTTTTTCCCAAAAAAATCTTCATGGCACCTTTTAAATATGATTTTAGAACATATTTCATTTAAAACAAAAATCGTTATCTTCACCATTGAACATTAACAAAGTCTTTTTTGTTGTTGCAATTTTCGAAAATACAGAAAGTTCGCCGAAAATGAAACTAGTCCCACTTTTTATAGCATTTATTAAACATACGAGGAGAAAATTTAAAGAAAAAATTGAATCAATTTCAAAAATATTATTTTTCAAATTTTACTATATATTAATAAAATTACCCACGTTATATTTTTTTTAAATATTTTCTAAAAACTGTACATGACAATTTCATGACTTCTTTAGAAAACATATTTCATGAAGGAAAAACACTTCAAAACAAACTTCAAAATTGTAATTGTTGGAAGAAATCGAAAAACTGAAATTTAGTAATTTTCAAACGATGAAGGATATCAACGAAACCACTCTGATGAGTCTTTTACACTATCCGAAGACAACTTTAATAAAAAAAATTACAGGAATTTTTGAGAAAATTTAGAAAATATTTTTTCTTGTTATTTACGAACGGTCGAACGGACCGGAATTACCACATTTTGCATCGGAGACTTCAGCAGAATGTACATCGTGTGACGTCAGGAAGATGCGCGTGAAGAAACCGCATATTTGACCGAAGCTTAGAGGTGGTGGAAGCAGCATGTTGTTCTTCGCGGGCGGTTTCTACGGCTTGTTTGGCAAACACACGAGGCCGTGCGCTGCTGCTGCCCGCTACCTGTCGCCGTCCGCCCCTCGTCCGCCACACGCAGAGGGCGCCTGAAACTGGCCCCCGCGTGGGAGCCCAGCAAAAGGCTCCCGGTGAGCGTCGCTGTTCAACGTTATGCTTGTGCCTTGCGCGTTAAGCGCGATCACCAGTGCTTTAAGGACTGTGCGTGGACTGTGTTATATTGCACAATGTGGGTGAACTATTAGTATTGAGTGGTAAAGGTTGTAGAAATGTAGATAAATAGTGTGAGATGGTTAAATAATAACGTAGGTACTGAGGAGAAGAGTAGGCAAAGTGTCATACGGATAAGAAGACACTTTGGAAGGCGGTTTCAACCGCAAGTTTGGTAATCAATCTAGGATATCACGAATTTGACAGCCGTGGTTTTTGTAGTACGTGGATGTAAAATACACCTTTTGTAAATGACTTACGAACAGTGTACTTTCAAGTAATTTAGAACTGTATTGATATTTTTTAATCAAATGCATCTAGGCATTCAAGGAAGGCTGATGAAAAAATGTAATTCACTTATAAATGTGTCTGTGAGACAACTATCAAAGCATTTCATTTTCCACAAATCAAAGGCAGAGATGTGGTTTGTCAATGGATCTCCGTGATTGAGTTTTGATAACTTTTTTGTCTTCATTTATCGCCAGTTCTCTAAACGACAAAAATCACTAGTGAACCCCCCCCCGCCAAGTGGTGCATCAACTCTTTACCCAAGAACATTAATTATGCGAATGGAACTCGTGAATATGTTTTCATTATTTCCATTTCTTGTCTGTCATGTCCATTTGTTGTAGTTTTCATTGTCATTGATTGATTTTAAACTCTAGCGATTACATTTGGGAATTTTCCTGTTACAGCACTTATCGTTCCCATCTAGCAACGAAACGAGTCACCGTTTCACATTCAACCTCACCAGCAATGCGGACATCGAGGGGCCCCAAGGCAGCTTTGAGTGCATTCAGCAGAACAGCACAAAGTGAGTGTCAACGTATTGTGAACTTCCGTGGTTGCATGTAGCCTGTGGTGAATGAACTGTCTAGCACGTTTAGGATAAGAACTTCGAAGACGGAGTGTCGGAGCTTGTTTTAAGACCACTCGACAATGGGCTGCCGTGAGAGAAGGGAAGGCAATAATCAGTCGTGAAATGTAATATTGTAAAATATTTACGAAATTAACGTACAAAAAGGTGGTAAGAATGATAGTGCAAGCATGACATTTTATTATACTTTTTTCTTCTTGTTTTTTGGTCTTCTTGATACTCTTTGCTTTTAGGCAAGTAAAGTTATCTTTATATTTCAGCTTTTCAGTTGATAACAAAACGTCTGTTGCGGAAAAAATAGGAAACTGATAGTTCACCCCCACGTGAGGAATAACGTAAGAGTAAAGGTCATTTCGTGTACTCTTCATACTTGGTGTCTTTTAACGCGTACTCTACATACTTGGTGTCTTTTAACGCGTACTCTACATACTTGGTGTCTTTTAACGCGTACTCTTCATACTTGGCGTCTTTTAATTTGCTATCAGGACTATCTAATGCGATTTTAAACATTGTGACCGTGAGAATAATCGTCGAAAAAATGGAACTGAAATCGATGTGGATGTGGGAATCCTCCGACTAAGGATATGACTTGACTAGAAGTACCGTAAGCAGTGACTGAAAATGAACCGGAGTTATCAGAACAGGGAAACAATCTCTAGGGATCAGAACAGGGAAGCGATCTTCACTAGGTGCCTCCAATCTAATTATATGAATAAATAGAATGCGTAATCTCAGTAGGCATGGAGTATTTTTTAAGAACATTGTATTATTTATGGAAAATTGTTCGATATCACAAAAACTAAATCTATCTTGTAGTGTTTGTAAATAGTAACTTCTATGCTGTAAAGATTGAATATTGAAACCGGGAGATATGGCTCAGGGCATCAGCTGATGTCACTGACCAAATCGATCCCATTTTGGAGAAAATCAGGGTTACGATTGAACATCAGTGTTGTTCACGGACGGACGTTTAGGGCAGAGAAAAAACAAACAAATTTTAAGTGGCAGAGGAAAAAAAGTTCTTTTCGAAATTATGGGCCCACATTCCGTCAAAATTACATTTTTCTGTTAAAATTTCTGCATTTATTTTTCTCTGTATTACATAACTTTCTCTATACTGCGTACATATTCCGTAAGAAAGCGGCGGCTGCTTCGTGCACGATAGAAGGCGTGTGTCGTGCGAATGTATTCCCGCTCAGTTTTATCGCACAACAGAAAATAAACGTTCTTTACTGGAACTAGAGTGAAAGCTGTGCATAACTATCAGGTTTTTGAGCCATTGTCGACATATACGAGCCTATCTCTCGGAAGTGAGTTCGAAACATGTCTTATTCTAAATGAGCCTATAATTTGGCAGCTTGCAACTATTAAGCTGAAACAAAATGTTAAATGGCCTGAAAAATTTCGGTATGATTTCTTTTTCCGTATTCAATGATGTATTGAGTGGAATGAAGATGCAATGCAGTATTTTGATTATTTCTTAATTTTTCTTTGCGGCTCTCTTGTACTTTATTCCAAACAATAAGCTTGACAAATGATTTACGCGAATGCGCGTGTCGTACGTGAGTATTAGAACGGGTGTATTAGTTCGGAGATAGCCGTGTGTACTGGAGCTGAGCGGCCGCCGCCTTGCACTCCTGTTCAGAGCATTGGGGGGCTGGGGCAAGGATCGGACTTGCTGGTAAGCGATCCGCCACCTCACCGCCTCAGCCCCTCGTCCCGTCCCTGCCCTCCATCAAGCCCCTGCTCCCCGTCACGCCCGTGCCCCTCGTCCCGCCACTACCACATCCCTAGCCTTCGCTGTTGCAAGAGGCGTCCAGTCCCCTGTATCGCCCACTGCTGCCGTTGCCGCCATCACCGCGCTGACTTAAGCACATCGCGGCGGCGGCGGCGCCCGCGAAATGTTTGCGTCGCGCGGACCTTGATGCAAGGTCATCCATGCTCTGCGCCAAGTTCTCGCGTCGTCCGTCGTATGCCCCAGCGCTGCCGCCGCAAACGCGATTACCACTGCGTACTTCGTAGGCGAGCGGCTTTTTCGAACTCCTGCTTTTTTTCTTTCTCCTTTCTCATTCATGTTCTACTGTGGTGCATGCCTACTTGCTCCGTAAGTCGGGTATTTGTGAGCTAGTACAGATAATATCTTGTGCGTTGCCGCCGTATATTATAAACCTAGGAGTATTATTTCGCAACTTTTCGAGAATATAAAGTGGGTATGATTGTAAAATATTCCTCTCAATGTTTAACGGATTTGCATATACTTTTAATCTAAATGTGTAGACTCGTGCCCCAGGTGTTTTATTGCATTCCTTTCTGTTAAAGCCCGCAATTATCTATCTGGAGGCAAAAATGTCTGAATAGAAGCCGAACATCAAAATCAAATTAACTAGATTAATTTTAGGCCCTAAATAGCCATTCCTTCAAATAAATATCATGTTTTATGCTAAACATTCAATTCATTTTTTAAAATGGATTATTTACGATGCATAATTGTTTTAAAATTCTTTCTTCTCTACTGTCCGCGAGGGTAGCAATTATTTCTGATTTCCATGTCCTCCCGTCCCCATGTTAGAGTTTTCAATATACGCATTCTTTGGATGGAAATCTGAATGTGTGAGTTGATATCTTATCGCTAGGCATTGTGACTCAAGGTGGCCAATGAATGGGCGTTTTGTGCACGTATTACTAAAGATACACTCGGGGGAAAGTTTATTTGGAACTGAGAGGAAAATGCCTATGTGGACTCAAACTGGTACATTCGTATTCATGGATTCACAATCTTAGTTAGAAAAAAACTGCATATTGAGTTAGTCCATCCGTATTGCTATAATACTTTCCGAAAAATATTTTGGTTCTTTTACAAATAAGGCATGCTGTTTCCATCGCAATTCATTCATAGCCGCATATGTTCGTAGTGCGTATGTGCGCAATGAAGCGGGGAAGTGATTTGAATGTTCGCGCGAAGCCCTCAAACAATCCTACAGAAATGGTTTAAGCATGGTATTCGGTTTTAGTAAAATGTGAATATGAATATATCAAATTAAAGTTTGTGATTTTCTTGGCATTCTATCCACATAGCACGATAAATGGATTGCAACATGAAGAATATCGAAACGAAGTGAAGGAAGAGAATGCGTCTCTTAGATAAATGTAAAGTCTCAGTAAATGAGACAATGTATTAAAACTGGCAGGGTTCCTCGTGTTTACGCTGTCAGTAGAGGAGCAAAAAATACATTAATTTCAGCTGATGTGTTTGCGAACGCAACGGACTTTTTATACACAATTGAATTCGACTTGACTTTTCTCATTTTGGCCATGTATTTATCCAGCGTATTAAAGGATATTTTGAAGTGCAGGATTCGTTAGTAGGGGTAAATTGTTTTAGTACTTTTTTGAGAATTAGTAGACTAAACAGCTGATTTTATTAAATTGCTCGATAATGACCTACTTGGAACCATTTTCCAAGGTGGCGAAATTTGGCACTGCTAAGGCCGTTGTGCGGATTTTGAATTTTTGGCACAGTTGTCTCTCCTGGCACTAAATAATGTAATTTTGAAGGCGTGACGTCACACAAACTCAGCATTACTTTTCATCAACACTGACAGTCTGTTCATCCATAAGATAATTTATGCTTAAAACTCAATGGAATCAATTCTTGCATTACATTCGTTCTGACACTGAATGAAAACACTTGAATATCCCATATTCGCTTGTGTTTGTAGTAGATATCAACTAATCACAAATTCTCCATACATATTCTGCCCTTGATGTTTTTGCCACGGATTTCTATTTATTACAAATAGATTGTTTCGTCAAAATGACCTATTAAGTTACTAGAATTTGTAAATCGTGGAAATTATGACAAAAACAGAAATCATAGTTAAAAGTACACAAGTCGCAAGCCTGTGCCGTCTCCCGTGTAAATACGTGGATCGCTGACGCTCAGGTCCAATATCCTGGAGTTTGAGAAGTTGGGCTGTAAGATGTCAGTCTTTAGTTGCTTCGACCAATGCCCCTCTCTCATCAGAAGGCGCGGCCAGACTCTAGGCCTTGGTGAAGGTTGTTGGATACGTTCCTACCCATCAGATCACGAATTCACATTTGTGTCAGTGTCTTTGCAAAAAACAGAATATCTGCAAAAAATCAAATATCCTCGGGCAAAGCTCTGTTGTAACGCACCGGGCGCTCGCTGCGGAAGGACGAGGTAGGGACTGCTAATGTTGTTTTCAGGTCAAATCCTTGCTATCGGAGATAATACAAAATGTGTGTTGACAGTGTTTTGTAATTCGTGCGCAGACATTGTATAGTTACTTATTGATATCCAACATTGACAAAAAATAGCAAATATTACGATATGTTCTATTATTGATTACCTTATAACAGGAACTCAAAATGTTACAGTATTTAGGCACAGCAAAATATTTTAAAAAAATGAAAAACAAGTTGTTGAGACACTGTAGGCCCTATAATTTCTCGCTGTAGCCCGCTCGTGGTTTCCCAATCAAAATTCGTAGAAACATTAAGCCGTGTCACTGTAGCATCGCATAGCTGTTTATAGCATTAGCACCATCAGGTGGAGCTAATTTGATGCCCAATTTTCATTTTTTAAGAGGGTTATGGTAGGTCTTATGTCGTCTTTTACTTCGCACGGTCTTTTTTACAAGCATCAAAAGGCACAGATTGTTGTTTTTGTTTTTCATGTGTTTGCTGAAAACAGTGTAGAAGATACTGTGAAAAGTTTTGTTTTTTTGTATCATAAAAGTCTGGATTAACACTAATTTAAGAAAATCGAACTTAAGACAAGGTTACACAAATGAGATGTTTAAGCGCTATATAAGCGACTCTCCCTGGTGAAGAAAATGTGAACTTCTGTTAAGCTCATATTATATCGCCCCCAATGAATGAATTATCGGGGCCAATATTATTGGAGCCGAAGTTTGTATACCAGATGCGTTTGCAAAATCTCATCATTTGTGCCCATATCCTCGGTAGGCAACCTTCTCGAAGGATCACTGGCCTTACAGCAGATTAGAGTTTAGGAAGCGGATATGTCTCTTATGGGAAACCACAGTGTTACAAAACCCAGGTACTGTAAACCGATACAGTGGTCTGAAGCACCCACAGAAAGTACAATATATTTTTGAACAGAGAAAATGTGAAATATACTGTAAAGATTAGAAATTATGAAACCAACCGAATAACGAATGGATGCGATGCATCACTCGCATCCATTGACGCTACGCCACTGAAATATATTATTCCTTGGCTCATTATAACTGCACTCAGCGTAATAAGAAAGACAATCTCTTTGGACACTAATGGTTTGGCCTCTGAATCTAATAAGTATCAATCGCATACTTATTTTAAAAGGATGTAGTAATCATTTTGTTTTTCGGTTTATACATTTTCGGCTTCCTACGAAAGTGGTAATTAGAAAGTGTTGTAATGTTACGTCAAAAGTCGGCTATTTCTCGACAACAGAATTCGTATTGTGGAGCCCTGATATACAAAAAGTGGACGTATCTGGTGTGTTAACTCGACATCGTTAGATCGGATCCTAGCGAAAAAAACATTTGTGCTGGTTGGAAACTCTTCCGCAGGCCCATGTACTATTATAATATTGTGTAACAGTTACAAGTAATGCGAGGAAGAATGTGATGTTTGAGCAGTGCTGTTTACTTTAAAGTAACTAGTTGACAGAAACATTCCTATTTCAACATCTATTTTCAATATGTATTCCACTGTTGTGTTTGTAATCGCAGTATATACCTGATAAGATCTTGAAGCAAAATTGTTCTCCGGATCTTCCTGCATTGTTTATATGTTTACTGAATACGTTTTTAACAGTGGAAGTAAGTCGGTAAAACCAGCAAGTATAGCATGAAAATGAGTAGGCATTGTAATTGTTAATGTTTTAATACGAATTATTTGCTGTATAGAATGCAACTTTTGCCGCTTGGCGTGTCGTCTTTCGGATACTGCATCGTAGGGGCGCGCCCCCTGTTTCAGGAACCTGGAGAATCTGGGGGCGCTGCAGTGCAAAATGCGCATTCAGGCCAAGGACGACGTGTACGAGGCCACTCGCCATAGGATGGCCGTAGCAGAAGAGGCGCAGAAGAAGAACCGGTGAGTTGTGTCCCTTCCTTTGGGTCTTCGCTGTCTTATCCGCCCCGTCGTTTTCCCTGATCCCTTTTTCCGTGACTGATTCTCAAACAGCGTATGATTAGCGTAGTTCCTGGTGGCCTCATAACAGCCGATGAGAGCTTGCGTATTAAAGTTTTGTTTTGTTTTTCTTTTGAGTAGTTTCTCAAAAAGGGGACTCAATGGTCCAGTGTCTCCAAAATGGTCGGATCGAGCGTGAGGTTCCAATTTTTTCTACGTCCTGCTTGTTCACTCCTCCCCCACTCTCCCTCCCCATCGCCCATTCTCTCCCTCTCCACCCTTAATTACAAAACGTGCTATTTAGGAAAGGGCCGGGGACTCTTTCAACTATGCGTCATCTTGTACAATCACGAGCTCGCGAGCTGTAAGTACCAATGTTGGGGACTGTGATAGTCGTATGTAGTAACGAATCGCCATAAATATAGATCAATTGTTGACTTACGTGGCCACCATAGGAAAGTAGACAAATATTTTGTTAGATGTCAAATTAAGTATAAATAAAAGGGAATGTGCGTATGTGTCATATATAATCGTCAAAACTATTTAACCGATTTCGCTGAAAATTTCACACGTTGTTCGTTTATATTCTCGGAAGTATTTGATAGTAGTTTGAATTAAACTGGACAAATGGCGTTGATGATGACTCGGGTTTATGATGACCCGCTCAGTCTACTGATTAGAAACGCTGGGCAACCCGCCGCACCGTCATGAATTAAGTGCGAGTTGGCTGCATATTCTGCCCCCGCGATTGTGAATAATCGGCCGAAATTTTAACACCTGATGCTCGAAAGTTATCGCGGACAAGTAAATTAAATTTCTCTAAAACGGTGTCATAGCGAAAGCTTGACCAAAGTTGAAGGAGAACGTTTTAACAATTGTGTGTACTTGACAACCGTGTCCAAATCAGGCCATAGAACAAACCCATTCTCTAAAGGGTCTTTCATCTAAACGAATTTTTGCAGAGAGTAGCATAAAACGTATTTACTAGGCTGTCCGGGTGACGCCGCGTCCATGGCAAAGGTGCCGACGTTTCGGTCGCCATTCTGCGACCTTCCTCAGGGCGTAATGCGACGCGTCATGGCGACCGAAACGTCGGCACCTTTACCATGGACGCGGCGTCACCCGGACAGCCTAGTAAATACTGACTCCGGCCGCGGAAGCCTACGCTCTCAGCATAAAACAACACGCGGTTAAAATGATTTATATATAATTGACACGTTATTTGACTTGACAGCTTTGGCAGCTTTTTCTTCAGTGCGATGTGTGGGTCTTGGCTATAACATGTACTGCACTCATAGAACCAATGATGGAAGCAGTTGACGCGTCCGGAAAACTACAAATCCCCACTCGTTGACCATTCTCCCGGACCTCTCTCTTTCTCTCTTGGAACTGTGGTGCCGCTCCTGAGCGCTTGTGTGGTGGTGCGCAGGACACGGGAGATCAAGCCCGGCGGCCCCGGCATCGGCAAGAAGGTGAAGCTGACGCCTGGGGCGCCCCCTCGGCGCAGCCACGAGCCCCCGTCCGCTGCGGCTGCGGCGGCGGCGCCGCCGCCGCTGCGGCCGCCGCCGCCGCGGCAGCCGGCACGACACCGTCTCCCCGGCGCTGAGGCCGTCCTACAACAGCGCCAGCAGCCTGAAGCCCTCGGGCGGCCTGCCCAACGGCTTCCACAACAACAACAACCACCACCACCCCAACGGCGCCGTCAACGGCAGCGCGGCGCGCGGCGGCCCGCTCGGCCACCGTCACCCCGGCAACCCCGAGCTCATGAAGAGGCCCATCAGGTGAGGCTCGACTGTTGTATTCATTATATTCATTAATAATAATAATAATAATATTGTTATTATTATTATCATTGTTATTATTATTGTTAGTTATTATTACTATTATCATTGTTATTATTATCATCATTCCAATGACGCAATTGTTGCATGAAATCAAAGTGTTAATGTAGCCAGAATGCAAGATGAGTTCACTTTAAATCTTACTTTTTAAGAAATATTATTTACAGGCATAATTCTTGGGTGAAATTCTTCTGCAGGTTTGATTAATACCGTGATGAAAGTAAACAACGCACGGATTCTTTCAAATTCAGTGTTCAAGGTTGTTGGTTTGTAATGTGAAGTTAGTGTGCAATGGTTAGATATGAACTTAACTCATTTACATACAATTCTTACATCTAAAAAGATATAAAAAAAGGAGAAGTGCAATTCTGAAAGTGTTTGATACGTGTACATAAACATTCTCAATACTGTCTTCATACATTTGTTTCACTAAATCACACAACTTTCTCATGATATTCATCATAAATTTCATTTTTAAACTGTGCTATTCTGTTATCATTTATTATGCCCTTGGACTTTAATTTAAACTTGACAAAAATTACACCAGGATCTAATGCAATTGTAATTCGGAAAAGTTGGGCATGAGTAAGGACCTATTAATGTCTAGTGGAGTCATCCCAAATTCAGAAGAAAATCCAAAATACTATTCTGCGCAAAGCAAACTTCCTGCAAAGATTATTTGCTACAAATGCACTAAAGAATGAAGCAAAAACCCTCAGGATGGGTAAGAAACAACATTGCCAAGCATTGATTCCATATTAAATAGCGAGTAGTCAAACTACGTTTTAGCAGCCATTATTGATAAATATTTAATCCCTTCATTTATTGATCTCCAACTGGAAGTAACTATTTCCAGAAAAAGTGTGAAGTTACGCTTTTATTAGTAAAGGTGGTGATGTTCTAATTGCATTAATGCAATATTCTAACAGAGAAAATGAGAACTATCTTAAAATACATTAGCATGACCTCTCAGGAATGCAAGGCAGGTAATGGTTAAATTTTTCTTTCACATAACACACATTAATTCCGAATTGACTTTTGCTGACAGTATTTGGCCACTTCTGTAATGGGGTCTATACAGAAAAATGTCACTTTATTTCATATTATTTTAATTAGGTTTTGCCTAAATAATAGTTGACGATTACAGAACAACATTCTTAATTATTATCAGAAATAATTTGGAAATAAATCATTCAGTGCTTTCCTTTGAAACTGTTGGTTATTCACCATTTATTACTGTAAGTAGGTTTTTGCGAATCACTGGTCCATCTCCACACACAGATATATCATAATCAATTTCCTCTAAAAACAATAACAATGTACAATAATATTATAACAATTCTAAAAAAAAAAAAAGTTTTCATACGTTCAATTTAGTCAAATCCAGCATATTAAATTAATTCTGGAATATGGGCCTGGCTGACTTGGGCTTGGTGGGGGTTTACCTATGCACACAAGTAAACACCATTAAAACACCATTAAAACACCAGTAATGCCCTCCTGTAATGGGAATACCCGATTCGAATCAAAAGTCAGCAAGTCCTGCTCTGTTCTCCCTGTGGTGGCCCCTGAGTGCTCTCTAAGGTGAGAGCTTGGAGAGCAGCTAATGAGAGCAGGGCGAGGGAGAGTCTCTGGCACCTGAGAACGGGAGCATTGGGATAAGGAAAGGAAACTCTATCAGAAAACCAACCTGCTGCCTTGCAGGGAGGAGAGGGATCTCCATAGGGTAGGGGAGAAAACCTTGAATAAAATCGTGCAGGCCCAGAGGCGGAAAGGGGACATTTCCACTGGGGAAGAGTGGCGTAGGGTCAATCACCCACTCACTCTTATGGCGGATTCAGAGAAATTTAAATAGTCTTGGCAGGAAATAAAACTTAGACAACCTTGCAAGGAATTGTACATGAATATATGCATATGAAATGTTACATCAATAACAGAAAAAGAAGTGGAAATAGTAGAAGAGATGCAAAAGTACAATTTAAAGATTTTGGGAATTAGTGAAGTTAAAAAGAAGAGAGCAGGAGAGGTGGAATTGCATGAAGGGTATGTAATGAGATATAGCAGTGTGGATAACAAGGGCAGTTGGGGGAGTAAGCATTATCGTGAACTCGAATATTAGAGAGTGACAAATTGGGAAGCAGTAAGAATTATGAGTGTGGACATACAATTAATGAGTGGCACCGGTGAGTATATATACACCATCGGAAGACAAAGATACATTAGAAAAGGAAATATTTTATTCTAAACTTCAGAGAGTAGTAAAACAAACACAAGGAACATATCATGTGGTGATAATGGGAGGCTGGAATACTTGAATAGGATTGGATGTGGGAAAAGGATAGGGTAGTATGGAGAAATAGAGTGGAGAAAACAAGGGATGCTAAGGGGGAGCAGATGCTAGAATGTTGTATAGATCAATCAATCGCTGTTAGGAAATACATGGATTCCACACAAGAAAATACTCAAATACACATTTGTAACAAGAAGAAACCAGATGATAGTTAAAAGTGTGATTGATAACTTTATATACAAGGAGTCATTTCGACATGCAGTAATGGATGTTAGGGTGTATAAAAGTGCGGAATTAAGCATGAAAGACACATTGATGGTGATGGAAACAATTGATGGTGAAAAATAAATAAATGGTAGTATTAAATATCCACCAAGAGAACAATTTAAGAAAAAAATTAAAATTAAAAGTGAGAAATTGAGAATGGAGGAAAATAGGAAAATATATGATCAAGCAATTGAAGAAAGACTGAAAATGAAACAGAGAGAAGTGAGGGAAGGAATAGAGGAAGAATGGAAGAGGCTTACGGAAAGAATACTAGAGGCAGCAATAAAGGTGTGTGGCAGGCAGAGAGGAAATATGTGTTTTAAAAGAACTAGACAAGGTGTACCAAGGTGGTAAAGGAATGGGGAAAGAAGAAAAAGAAACCGTATGCAGCAGATATGGTTTCAAGAATGCAAGAGGTTTGGGAAAAGTACATAGAAAATAGAAATAGAGTAAAGCATAAGGAACCCAAATAACAACTTAGACAGAACAGACAGAGGTATTAGAAACCTGGAGGCAGTATTATGAGAACACCTTCAATGATAATAACAGGACAGCCACTGGTGATTGGAGGGAGTTGAGTAACAGCCCAGAACTCCATGAGCTACTGGGAAATGCTAAAGAGGGGGAAAGTTAATTGAATTGGTGAGTGAGTGAGACTAGGAGAGAGGAGCACAGGTGGAGGGGAATTCCGTTGAGGAAAGAGATGTAGAAGAGGCAATGAGAAGAATTCAAGTTGGGAAGGCAGCGATCCAGGCAGAATAATACCAGAAATGATGTATATTGGGAAAACAGGAAGGATATAGATTACAGCACTATGTCAACAGGTATGAAGAGAAGAAAGAATACTGAGAGACTGGGAAGAAAATATAATAGTACCTCTACATAAAAATGGAATCACTGTCAACTGAGAAAATTACAGGTCTATTTTGTTTGTCATTCTGCATCCTGCATCCTGCATTGTACTTCAGGATAGTGGAAGTAAAATCATGGAGGGAGATTGAAGACAACTTGGGAGAGGAGCAAGGGACCTTTAGACCGTACAAACACAAGAATTGATCCATATTTACACAATAAGAACCGTAATTGTAAAAACATTGAGCAAGGGGAAAACAATATGCACTACTACCATAGATTTAAAGCCAGCATTCGATACAGTTCCCAGGAAAGAACTAGGGGATATAATGGAGAAAGCAAAGGTTTGAAGCAAAATGAGGGTAATTAAGAATGTATAAAAATGTGTTTGGCACTGTAAAACTGGATGTACAACCAAGTGGGAAATTAAGAATGAGCAAAGTGGTTAAACAGGGAGACTCATTGAAAATTTATTATTCATAATCTTTATGGATCAGGTTACTAAACAAACCAAAAGGTGAACTAAGAAATGTAAAATTGGAAAATGAGACCTGTATGGATACAAGACGTATGTTATGCATACATTATTTTATTGCCTGCCAAAAATTCAAAGAGAGCTGCAAGAGATGGTAATTGAATGGGAGTATGCACTGGAGGGTAGGGGTATGAAGATAAACATGAATAAGAGCAAGGTTATGTGTATAGGCAAAGAAAAGGAGGAAATGAACATGAACTGGAGAGAGGAAAACATGGAGCAAGTAACAAGTTATGAGTATTTAGGAACAATAATTTCGGAGGACTGAAAATACGAGGAGGAATTGAATAATAGAGTGAAGAAGGTAAACTCTGTATTGTCAAATAAATAAGAACTTGCTAAGAATGAATGTAGGCACTAAAACCAAACTACAAAATGTATAAGTCTGTATACACAATATCATTTATATATGGAACTAAATGTATGCCACATAATACGAAAACAGAAAGTAGAATCCAAGCAATGGAAATGAAATTCCTGCGCAGGATTGTAGAGAACCCAAGAATGGATTGAATAAGAAATAACATAATTAGAAAGGAACTAAAAGTTTACACTGCTACTCAAGGAAATGGAAAACAAGGCTCTGGCATGGTATGGACATGTTAATAGAATGACAGAGGATAGAAAGTCAAAACAAATGATTGAAACCAGGAAGACCAAGAGGACCACCTGGAAGACCAAGAGGAACATGGGACACATATACAGGGTGTATGCCAAAGCAATGGAGCTACACTAGGTGAGGTGAAGCACAAGCACAATACAAAAAGGAGTATGTCAAATGGGTAACCCAACGCTGAGAACCATCAGGGGAAGATGATATGCACTTTCTTACTGATCTTATAACTATTTTTACTCTCTTCAAAACACTACTTTGTCTTTGACAATCTCTTGTAATTCTTCAAAAATAAATTAAAAATATGACTTGCTTAGTGATATTCACACATTCTTCAAATAATTTCACTTTTCGTTTGATCTCGTTAAATAAATTAATTACTCCAGAGTTACTGCTTTTTAATTTTTCAGTCAATCTAGCATCTTTAAACGCCATATTTTTTACATTAAAAATAACTTGTTAATTTCATAACTAGACCTCATTTTTGCACAACGTGCATTCGTTCCCCATGACATGCCTTTCCTCCACATTGCTCCATAGAAAACAAACACAAGACTGTATCTCTTTCCGGCTGGCTGCTGATGTTATATGCATGGTATTCATTCATTTCAATTCAATATTGATAATATAAAAAATAATTTGTTACTCATAATGTTGGTAATTATCATTTTGTATTGTTAAAGTAAAATTATGAATTTGTTGTTGCAGGGAACGACTTATTCAAATGCTTGCTGTTAGGAACTATAAAAAGCCTGAATTAGTTGATCGTTTATATAGGGGTAAGTAAAATTTTCAATAATACTTGTGTCCCTTCTCCTTGAATTCATTCAAATAACCTTTAACTGACTGAATTTTTAAACGTAATGCATGTGGGACTTTAAATTAAACATGTAAGGTAATTGTATATACTTTTAGTTGTAAATTAGATGATTTTATAGTTTATTATATAGTTATCCCTGTTTTCATTACAATGGAATTTTTATAGATGGACTGAGAGAAAGAGACAAAAAAGCGATGACAGATGTACTGAAACAAGTCTCCATGCTTCGTGACAACACCTACCAGCTCTTAAGACACTTATGGAATGATGTACAGGAAAATTGGCCCTTCTACTCAGAACAGGAGCGGCAGAGTCTCAAAAGGTGAATTTTGTTACCATTATCTAATACTTCTAGGTCCAGTTGAATGTAACAAATTAAAGATGCTATTGTAGGAACTTTTACTTAAAACCACTAGAAATGGGACTGGCTTGAAATCTCAAATTTAGATTGAGAATAAGATATAGTAAATTTTTTGGGCTTAAACACAGCTGATAAAAGATTATGTGAAGACAGAATTATAAGCTTCAAACCTATTATTTATAACACATGCTTAACTAAACAAGTAATGCATCTTATTGCTTGTGCTTCTTTAATACAGTAGAATTTCGCTAATCCAAATTCCACAAATTTGAAATTTTAGATAATCTAAACGAAATTCGGAATGGGGAAAAAATAAAATGCTTATTTGTAGTGTACAAGTATGGTTTTATAATTACTGTCAAACATATGGAAATAAAACTTTCTTGCACTGGTAACTACTAATAATATGATTGTGTCATCACAAGAACATGAAGTTCAGCAAAATGCCTTTTTATTATTGTTTCGATTTTGTGATTTTGGGGAATCGCTTAATTGTCCTTCTGAAGTTGTTTTAGTTGTCAATTTTCTCTTTTTTGCCTATTTTAGCTTGTGATGCTTATTTTTTGGCATTTTGCACTATTTGTACCCTCCTGGCTCTGATCTCTATCAAGCTGAAAACATACCTTCAAGCCTAGACAACGTGAAGGCATGGTCATGTATTGTTTTCTGTGGATGTGGAAGCTCCAGTGTCAAGTTGTGTTAAAATATAAAAGGGAAAGGAAGATGACACCAAAAATTTTTTGATATTTTTCATTGATATTGAGGGATTTTTTTTCGTTCGCAAAGAATCTCATTCTATGTTTGTGTTTTGGCTCGGATCCCATTTCACGGCAAAGCTATCTGTTCATGATATGTCCTTGAGTTCTCCTTGTTCTCTTTTCCCTTCTGGCAATTACAGAAATGTGAAAAACAAATCTATAATTGCTTTCACTGATTCACCATTTCAAGATTCAAAAGGGAGTCTACAATAGCATTTCTTAAAAGACAGCATCGCAAGTAAAATAAATTCATAGTAGTCGTACTGGATGGTCATCTGCAATCAATATTACACAGAAAGGGAAGTTTCCTTCTACAAGAGTTCTAATGCAAATTTTAAAGTTGGAATATAAATGTAAATCATTTTAATAATTATTTTCTTTACAATAATTTCTTCTAAATTGTGATTTTTCAAGGTTTCCTGCATTTTATCCCTCTACTTTAGCCAGAATAAATGCCGGTTTTTACATGTCTATTTTAGTAAAAATAAACGCCTTTTTGCCTGCATATTTTAGGTAAAATAAATGCCAGAACTTCCGGACTCAAGTCATCACACATCCTGTCATTGAAAAATGTGTAGTTTGTTGGCGTCCTCAAATAGATGTATGGGAAACCCTTCTAGTATGACATATTTTGGTTTGTTTTCATGATACATTTCTAAATCCTTAGGGGTAAAATATCTTGCTATTGATTCAGATTTATATAAACAGTTGAATTATTGTCCTTAATAACTGTGCACATTTCTTGTTTTCCAGAATTTTTTTGTGGACCTAAAAGATATGTTACAATTAGTGAATGTTTCTCATGCTTTGCATACCTTCATTCAATATAATTCTGAAAACTCTATTACAACACGTGTTCCGGGCGTCAGAATCTATGAAACACGGAACTTATAGTTTCTTTTCGACTGTTTCTTATGATGATGAACTTTTCATTTCTCGTCTACGTACGTACAGACGGAGTATAGAGACGAAGTTCTCTATACGCAGTATGGAGAAACTTCGAAAATGCGGCGGAAAATCTATTTCTAAATTTCAACAGAAATTCACGTCTTCTGCACGTCCGTCCGCGTTAAGATAAGTTCGTGACCGATGTGTTTCTATCATTTTACGTAATACTCTCCTGATACTTCTTGAATGGATTACTGCAATTTTTCTAGTCATAAGACTTAAAGGAAAATTAAGTCTGGGTTTGTTTTGAGAAAATGTACGTAGGGTAGACGGAGAAAACCACAAATTATTCTCTCGAGCCACTGCCTAGACAAGATGGGAAAGATACCAGTAAGTGTCATGTGCTTTTGACCGCCAATTCAGCAATAAAAGTAGCTGCAGCGCCTGTTTCAATAGATAAGGCGATGGGAGTTTAACTTTTGCCACTGCGCAGCGTGGGTGTCCGCATATTTTTTGGTATTTCGATGGACTGACGGACGAGTTGGGTTTGGGGCGTTTCGAGATCACTGACGAAGACTGTGAAGCCGTAGGCGCCGCGCCAGTGAAGGGGGGGGGGGTTGGGCGAGATCTCGGTTCGCATTTTTTGTGCGTTGAGGCGTCGTGGAATAGGCGACTGAAACGAAGACCATCTCACGCAACAGTCTGAAGGAATCCAAAAAACGCTCTCGGCAATGTTTTCTTCTTGGATTTGAATATTTGAAAGTGTGAAAATCATAAAAGACCCTGGCAAAGAGTATTAATACTTTTCCAGAAGGGGACCTTCTGGAGAGGAAGGATGCACCTCTTCGTGTTGGCACCGTGTCTGGGCTTTGAGAGGGAAGTAGTGTTCCTTGGCGGGCAGGGTGTGAATGCTGGCGCGTTTGTGCGCAGGC